CTCTGTCACAAGCAAGAATAAATAAGCTGCACCACAGTGGTGTGACACTGAAAGCACTCTTGCTAAAAGCATACCCTAGATATGATGGTGAAAAATATATCAGGGAAACCTTTTTATCACTTTGAAAAACTGAAGTTGACATGGAAGACATGTTTTAAGGTTCGTTTGTGAAGGACACTTGAGATAAGACACTTGTACGCACACCTGGTATAGGCCACAGAACACCATTCTAGAGGAATATTTTTCCGTGCATGCGTGTCCGAATAGACTGCAAGTAGCAAGTGAAGGGACACAGTTTCCCAATGCGATTATTGAATACAATAGCCAGATCTCAGTTTTGTATTTGGAAAAAGTCACCACTTTGTGGAATCCACTGCAGCATTGCGCAGATCTCGTGACACTTTTTGGTAGTAGTTATACCTTCAGCAATTCCATATTCCCAAATTGGCCAGAAAAGTCTTTTAGACAAATGACAAAAGAAAAAAAAATAAGGGCTATTTTTTTCGTTTGACACAACTTTTCATGGGAATTAAAAGAAAATGATGCCAAGAAAAATATAGGAAACCCTTTTTGTATTATGGTATAGAAGCAGGGATATTAAAGTGGATGAAAAGGATGTTACAGGTTTGATCCCCACAGGCAGAAAATTATCTATTTGTCCAGCAACAATGAGAGAAAGCACATACACATGAAACATCGGTTAACTTCGTGAAATAAGGGTAGATTAATTTCTCGTTAGAGCAGTGCAAATAGCAAAATTTTGGGTTCGAAGCAAATTCAAATATAGAAGCGTGAGGGCAAATCGAATAGAATATTTGTACAATATTTCTCTAATACTTCTTTAATAGTTCAAGGAGAAATTGCAGAAAAAGGTTGGTGAGAATTCCTAAGCATATTTTATGAGATAGAAACATGAAATCTTTTTTTTTTCTTTTTCTTTGGGGGGGGGGGGGGGGGCTAGCTTCATGAGATGTTGGCATGGTGGTGTTTCAAAGTTGTATTATCAAGAATGAGGCAATGCAGAGGCCGAATTGTAATTATGTACAGGATTTGGTGCAACCAAAGTGTTACTGACAACACTTTACTCGTGAAAGGCGAAAATGCTATTTCCTCAGCCCCTCCTCCTCTTTCAACTTCGGTAAAAGCACAATTTATGTGGCAGACAGATGTGTGCTCCCTTCGAGTCTCAAGTTTCAAGTCTGCCTCATATACATCAGTATACAAGAACATCAGAAATTTTGGATGCTAGCTAAAAATCTTCAGTTTTTTTGTTTTCTGAATTCATTCACAAATTTCAGGTTCGAAACAGCATTTAGTTCCCTCCTAGGCCACATTTGAAATTTTAAGTGTTGATGTTTAACATAATAAAACCTTTGCATGATTATGAGAGACACCGAAGTAGAGGGCTATTGAAATTTCTACCACCTGTGATTTTTTAATGTGCACCTAAATCTAAGCAACGGGCCGCAAGTATTTTTGCCTACATCGAAAATGCGACCGCGGCGGCCATAATTCCGTCCCGTGACTTGCAGATCAGCAGCTGAATGCCTTAGTCCCTAGACTACTGTGGCGGGTACCTCTGCCACATTTATCATCTCTGTGTTTGAACCAGCATTTTCTCGAGTCAGAACATTCGAAACTGTACCAGAGCTTGAAAGGCAGCCTGGCAGCAATATGAGAATGTGATGAGGCGAAGCATACTAAAAATCTGAAGGGGCAATTGATTATTGGATGTTGACTGTCTTTTGAAGGTTCGAATAGTAGAATTCCAGTGCAAATCGAATCAAGTAGCAAACACTATTACAAAAATATCCGAAATTGCAAATATTGGCACACCCATATTTCTGGTGTATTTAACCCGAAATAGAGGTGTGTGACCACTACATTGGTGCAACCCTTACTTGAGAATATAAAGAGATTCATTACATTGAGGTTCAACTGAATATATTGAAATAACTAAATGTGAAGCATTTCTTTGCATACTGCAACCACTTTGGAGTCGAGTCAGTCTGTCTGTCTAACCGCTTACGCCTGGGTGCTCTCGTGAACACCTCCCTTAACTTGGTGGGGACCAATATTAGCATGCGAGGGTAAGATGGTTAGACAAATATGACAGGCTGGTCAAGACATGAATAATCTCACAATCCCATTACGTACGTCGTCAAACACTTTCTGCCAGACAGTGGCACATAACCCGTGGGTGGGTATGTGCCACTGGTATGCAGGTGTGTGCCACAGATGATTGATACTCATCTACCCTGGAATGGCGAGAACACGCATGGGTAATTTTAACGCCCGAGTGCCACGAACAAGCTGATGTCGGCAGCACTGACCCAACAAATGCAAATAATAAATATTAAGGTCCGAGCACAAATTGAAACCCGGCATTCTGGGTGGCAATCAAGTATTCTACCACATAACCTCCACATAACACACCTACCACATAACACAGTATTAAACTTTTCCTAATTTATTTCGACAAAACACCATGCATTTTTCATTTGATTATAAGTAAGAGTGTTTACCTCTGATTTCGATGTAACTAAGTTTCACTGCTGCTACAAAGACAGGCTAGTCAAAGAGCTTCTTCGCACCTAATAGAGAGTCATACTTTAACCTCAGCAGATCTCGGAACTGGTTTTCAAATAGGCCCTAAAGTTCTCGAAATGCCAATTGTGACTGCTGTGCTGGCTATCCAATTATATATGTACTTTATATATGTACTCCTTGTGGGAATTGAAGCCGGCCCGCTGCCTTTGCGCGGGCTTTGCCGCCTCTTTCTCCGTTCTCATGTCCCGACATGTCTCCCCTCCTCCGCTGTCTGCCATGCTGGAGGAGAATAGTGACGTTTAACCCCCTCACCCGGTAGCGGACATTGACTATGGCGCCGTGCGCGGAGTCTCCCGAGAGGTTTTCGCGCGCTGCGTCGGGAGCGGGCAGAGACCTCTCTGGGGAAGACATGAGGGTAAGCAGGTTTTTCTTTTCCGTCCGTCAGCTCCCTGTGGGGCTCGTTCGGACTTCGCCAACAGCGCCTTGCACCCGCGGCGAACGCTGCTTACCTTATGTTACACCCCCCCCCCCCCCTTCTGAACGCTAGGCCGAAAAGTGGTGCGAGTGTTCCTAGTGCATGGCCAGGCTACACCGACCCGTCTCCCTCCGAAGACAACGCGAGCGTCTTTGCCCTCGCTCGAGCAACCGGGCCTCGGTCCCGGTGTCTCCGTGGATCACCTTTACCACGGAGACGTGCTCGTGGCACCCTGTGTAGTACTTTTATGCCCGTGGCGTGGAAAAGCCTATTTGCTTTCCCGCCGCGCCTTTGCAATGGGCTGCACTGGGTTTTGGTGTTGCCACAGACAATAAAGTGTTGCGACTTTGAGCAGTATCGTGTTCTCGCCACGGCGACGGTTAACACGTGCCCTGCAGCTCGCTAAGACTGAACCCACGCTAGTGGCCGTACTCCTTCGGGATACGTGTCACGACATCCTACAATATAGCAGTCACGTCGGGCTAACGTCAATTGTAGTTAAGTGCAATCCACTGATGCTGGTTTATGTAGCAGTGTCCAGGGCTACCATCCTCGCAAGCACCGGCATTTAATATCAACTTATTGCTTCTGGTGTTGCTAATACTCATGTTCCTGTTGGCATCATGGCAAGTGCGAACAACTGGTTATATAAACATGTGCAACTGTTGAACATATGTCTGTGCATGCAATATTTGTACATATAATTAGCATCATTTCATAACGTGTTAATCAAAAAATGACAGCATGGTCACTTTCCCTTCGCATGTTTCACATAATGTCTATTTTCAAGGTTCGTGGGATCTGCCAAAATTTTTTTTTTACAACACAGTATTAAACTTTTCCCAATTTATTTCGACAAAACACCATGCATTTTTCATTTGATTATAAGTAAGAGTGTTTACCTCTGATTTCGATGTAACTAAGTTTCACTGCTGCTACAAAGACAGGCTAGTCAAAGAGCTTCCTCGCACCTAATAGAGAGTCATACTTTATTCACAAGTTCAATACACTCCAGCCAGTTGGTATACTGAACGTTTCTATAGGGGCTGTTGAATACATTCGGTATACATACACAAAGAAACCCTCTGTGAGTTAAGCCCTCCACCCTCCCCTTAGGAATTTCAAACTTACACTTACAATTTTAACTTCTGACAAACTGTTCAACCACAGGCATGTACATCCTTAGCTTCTCACTGCTTTTCTCCCCCCCCCTTTTTTTTTCCACAGAATACCAGTTCCTTTCTCACTCATACAACTCATCACAGCACCCCCCCCCCCCCCCCTCATCTTAAATGCTTCCTCACACCTCTATATCCAATGCTGCCCCAACCTCTCTTTTGTTAGGATGGAGGAGTGGTACAAAGCGTAGACACGCTAGCACTACAGAAACAACCATTAATACAAGTTCGCTTGACGAAACATCGGCTTGATACAACTCCTGTTTACGAATTTTTCATATAAAGTTTTCACCTTCTCCTTCCTACCCCCTTTTTTTTAATTACACGTGGTTATTTTAGATGAAAACTTATTACTGGGAGAGTTCCATTTTCTTTCTCTGTTACAACAAACTAACTAGTAGTCGGAGTGCAACAACATTTAGAAATTATATATACATATATGTGTGAGTGTGTGTCCCATTTTGTTTTTCCCTACGTTTCCTAGAATATCCATAATTCTTGTCTGTTCTCTTACCTGTTCTGCCATCCTCGGATATCTCCATGTTATCCCTATCATTCTGCGTTCCATTGCACACTGCGTGGTCTCCAGCTTTCAATCTAGTTGTTTTGTTATTCTTCATGTTTCAGACCCATATCTCAGAACTGGCAGTACGCAGTGGCTGTATACTTTACGCTTTATTGACAGTGATAGATTTCTTGACCTTATTTGAGAGTGCCTGCCTGGTAAATGCACTCTTGCCCTTCTTATTTTTTGGTGATTTTTTTTTTGTGTGTGTGTGTGTTTTGCCAATCCTTGCCTTTTTCAGGATCTCTTGCCACGAACTGCTGTAGTCGGTGCTTAGCTCTCAACTCCAAGTTTGATCCTGGTTCCAGCTGCGCCTGAGCCAGAGCCACCAACTGATGCAGCACTGAGAACTGTGGTGGCTCATACAGGTCCTCTGGGTACATGTCCAGCCACACCACCAGAGTCTGCACCAATGACCTAACAAACAAATTTTTATGCTATGAAATGTGTGCGTGCATTTGTACATATCTAATGCCACTTCGTAACGTCTCGCTCAATAAAAAAAATTAGAACACATTCACCTTCCATGCACGTACTTTGCATAACATCGATTTCATAATATCTGGGATCTGCCGAATTCTTGCAATTTTGCACTGCTAGCTGTTCAAAACCCTGTATTCTGCGATTTCAAATCGTTTGGTGGTGTCCAACATTGCAACGTCATGATGTTTGCATGACGTTGCAATTTTGGACGACAATATCAGCTTCCGAGCTTTACACAACCTGTATTCTGGGATTTCATGTTCTCTGGGATTTCTGAGCATCAAGCAACACAGCCTTTGCTTGATCTCAACTACTTCACCAATCACTGCACGCTCATTCAGTAAATGTAGCTGACATTCTCTCTTTCAGTTTTCCTTTCTGTTCTTTTCTTTTTCTTGCTGCTGTCGTAAATGACAATACTGTAGCTGGGAGGTCAATTAGATAGAGTATTAGCCCCGAGAACAAAGACCAGCCGTGCTGGAGTTGCGACGACGTGACGCCACAACAAAGAATTGCCCACTCCACAGCCAAGTATCACCATTTTCTGCACCAGCCATGCGCCTCTTCTGCGATATGGTGGTGATTACTGTTCATTCATGCAACGCTAATCTACTAAGTCAGAAGGTGGATGTTTTTGCTACTATTAAAAGAGAAGGGAGCTGCAAAAAATTTCGATCACATGGCTTATAATGGGGCAAACTCTCATCCGAACAGATCATTCATTATAGAAAGATGCAGGACAGCAAGGCATTTTTACTCTAAGAAATGAGTGCTAAAAACATTTACACTAATGGTTCAAACTTCATTACAACTTGGCGTACACTCCACGATTTGAACGTGCGTCCCGAAGAATTACAAATAAAATTAGAATGTTTTAAAATTTACAAACTACATTGCGATTTTTATGGAGATAATCTAACTGATTTGACCGATATGCAATGTCTGCTACAGGAGACATCAGGTGAACCTATCATAAAAATGTGCTTCCGATTTGGAGCAATTTCTCGAGCAGCAAAATTTGACTTCCGAGCAGCCAAACTTTCATTTTGGAGCACTTTAATGTCTGCAGTTTTTTGGAATCGCAAAATTTTCTATTATGGAGCACTTTGGAACAGGTAATTTGGCATATGGAAGCGCTCTGGGGCAGCTAATTTCATATCCTCGGGTACAATAAAGAAGCAAGTCACATTTACATTCAATGACATGAATAATAATTTTGGAGCTTTTGTGAAGAGGTAAAAATTATTTAGATTCATTGCGAATCTCATAAAGCCAATCATCTTAGAAGCACTCTCTATTTCATCCCATGATGTATAAATAATGGTGTCATGCTGTTGAGCATTCTGAAAAAATTTGTACAGGGATTATACACAATAGTGGAATGGAATGAAAAAACTTTATTTGGAATGAAAAAACTTTATTTCAACAGTGATTGAATAAAATTGTACTTTACAGAATAACATTCTAAATACACCTATGTGGTTAACAGCAGACATGGTCTACAAACGCAGTAATGTACAATGCAAGAGACCCACACTGTCCCAACTGCATGTCCCTAGGACGACTCCAAGTAGGAAGAGAGGTTCTTTTCCTTCACAACCGATTATACTGCTGGGTGTAACATGACGTCACTTAGCTAGTCACATAAAGACAAGCCTCCTCCAGCACTCATGGCTCTCTGTGCTGTGACTGCATGATTTAGCAAACTTCCTTTTTTTTTTGCAGTGACATTTCATGTGGCTAAGGCGTTCTGTCTACACACCAGAACCCCCCCTAGTGTCCTTCCTCTAGAAAGCAGTGGAAAAAGAAAAAAAACTCACAGGGTACCTTGTGCCTCGACGAGAGCTATATTGTTCTCATTGCGATAGCCATTATATGGACATCGACTGCTTTCGCCGTTGCAAGAGAAGTAGGCAGACTTTTTTTTGGGGGGGGCGGGGGGCACCTTGAGGAGACTTCAGAGCTATATTATTCTTATTGAGATAGCCATTATATGGACATTGACTGCTTTTGCCGTTGCCAGAGAAGTAGGCAGACATTTTTTTTTTTTTTCGGGGGGGGGGGGGGGGGGGGAGCATCACCTTGACTTGAATGGGGGCCAGGCATGCAAATTGCCATTTTCAACTATATAGAAGGTCACGGTGAAAAACATTTTCAGGAGGGGGGGGGGGGGCACTTGCCCGGTGTGCCACCCTTTGGCTACACCAATGGCCTTCGCCGTTATGTTTTGTTATCGTTAATACCACCCCCCCCTCGCGCATCGTTCGTTTCACACGCGGGTAAAAGCGCGCTAGCGATGACGACAAACACAGCTGAAACAGAGATAAAAAGAGCCGACCTGATTTTGTTGCACTGAGGGCACATGCAATAACATCACCCCGCGTGCCAGGCCTGTCATCGAGTGTTGCTCAAGCAGAGAGAAACGCACTACCCACCTTGACGGAGCGTGAAGGAACTAATGAATGCAAGTTGGGGGGGGGGGGAAGTGTTGTTATGAATTGACATTAACAGTGTGATCGCTGGCACGGGTACTATTTCTGCAGGCCTTACAGACAGCTCGTACAACCTTCTACGTGTCGTACTCTAAATGCGAACAGACTGTGCGAAAAGTGCTTTGCTTTCCAGAGCGGCCATATAGTGGGTATGCACTGAGCCCTGATTGCAAGGTGGCCACACCATTGTCAAGTCACTTTGGAAGTACATTCGTACATGCCATTCATGCTGTACGTGTATCAGCGTGCAAGACGTGTTTCGAGGGTCTTTAGTAATTTAAATCGCTGTATCGATATAGAACTCAACTCGCGCAGGAAATTCTTTGTGCATGCGACGAGTGCGCGGGCCTTCAAAATGGCAACCCCACCGCTAGTGCTGCTCGCAAATGACGTCAAGCCTTACCGTAATTACTCGAATCTAACGCTCACCTTTTTTCCGGTTAAGCGAGTTTATAAATTGCATGCGCGTTAGAATCGAGTACGAACAAAAAAAATTACGGTCAATCTATTGCCATCGGCAAATCCAAAATGGCCGCCCCCAACGTGCGTCGGCATGGCGCGTCGGCCATTTCTGCCTATGTGTTTCCCATGTGCGGCACTTCGTACGTGTGCTGAGGAGTTCGTCATCTAGTAGTGCATTAGCATCGACGACGTAGAAGGGCCGAGTCCAAAAACTCGAGTGCACCACGATGCCGCTTTTAAAAGAAATGTCATGGCGTGTGCAGAAAACGGACGGAAATCGGGCCACATCGCGGTCGTTCGGAGTTCCCGAAACGTGCGTGCAGGACTGGCGGAAACAAAAGCAGAAGATTCTCGACAGCAAAGCTTCACGCAAAGGCTTCAGTGGACCACAGCAGGGTCAGTTTTCGCAAATTAAAGAGCTGCTCGGCAAGTATGTGCTTGAGCAGCGAGCGGCACAGCGGTCCGTGACGACAGAACTGCTCCAAGTGCGGGCTATGCAATTAGTCTTGGAAAAAGGTCCAATGCAGAGCCAGTTTAAAGCGAGCAGGTGCTGGCTAACTAACTTTATTGAGAGGAAAGGCTTTTCCCTCCGAAGGGGAACATGCATATGCGAAAAGTTTTGCGGAAGAGTACGATGAAAAGCTTCACAGTTTTCAGAGGTTCGCCCTAAACTTGCGGCGCAACAACGGCTACCTGCTTGGGCAAATCGGGAATGCCCATCAGACGCCTCTTTACTTCGACATGCCTGGCACCACAACCGTCGAGAAGAAGGGGGCCAAGCAAGTTCGCGTGCTGACATCGGTCCACGGTAAAACTACTGTGACGGAAAGCTCTGTTACACGTCAGATGGGCACAAGCTTCGCCCGTACCTCATATTTAAATGGAATACGCTCCCGAAGAAGTCGTTTTTTCGAGTGGTGTGATCGTGCGGGCCGGCGAGAAAAATGGGTGCGCGTTGCAATCGATGTCTTGCTTTTTTTTTTTCGCAGTGGAAATCGGGTGCGCGTTACAATCGAGGGCACGGTAGAATCGAGTAAATACGGTAATTGGTACAGTCAAATCTCGATAATTCGAACTCGAAGGGGTTCGAACATTTGTGCGAAATAAAAAGTTCGAATGAATGAAAGCTAAGTAAACAGAGGGCTCCTCATGCAATGGCGCATGTGCATTGAGCTAACACACGAGGGGGAAGTTTCAGAAGACTTACATTTATTCAAAAATCACAGGACATCTGTCTTTAATTGAAGTAATCGGTGATGCGCATCTGCACACGTTTGCCTTGCAGCGAGTCAATTAATTTCTCATGCAGCTTGCATGTCTACTTCCGACTTCAGCATTCTCCTGGCCAGAGTAGTTGCGTGCAGCAATGTAGAGCGCCGACACACCCTAAAGACGACAATAACAACGACTGCATCTCCGTGTCCGCGCACTCCAAGAATCCGGGAAACGAGGCCGCCGATCTCTTTGCCCGAGGTTCTCTAAACTGGGCACCGGCGGCCTCCTATCCTATATTCACAAAGGAGCACGCGCACACTTTCAATGAGCTGGCTCGGGCTTATCGGGCAGAGCGTCAGCTTTATCCTTCACCGCACAAGTCCCTCAGCAACCGACAGGCCATCCTCTGGCACCAGCTACAGACTCACACTATTCCTTCTCTTCTCATTCTATAGCACTATCACTCCCTTTTCTAACACCAGCCTGTACCCTCTGCCCTGAATCTCATGCTTCTGCTATACACATCCTTTCTCACTGCCCGGCGGATCCTCCCCCATGGGCCCTAGAACATCTCCAAGACCTTGGAGGACTGGGTGACCCTACTGCGTTGAGAGGACCCGGCTGAGCAGACAATGGCTACCGACTGGGCTGCCACCGTCATAGAGCACCCCCAAATGAACGCTTGAGCGCAGCGGGATCGTGTGGGGGCCCAGGAGCCTGCGTGCTCCAAACTCCTTTGTTGAAATAAAACTTTTATCCTCCTCC